GTGTGTAACACCATGTTTATAAGGAAAATAACTGTTAAGATTCACTGAAAAGAACTTAATCACAGAATATCCTGAGTTGGAAGCAGCCCGTAAGGATCACTGAGTTCAACTCCTGGCTCCACAGAGGACCACCCAAAAATCAGACCATGTGTCTGAGAAAGCTGTCCGAATGTTTCTTGAACTCCAGCAGCTCAGGGCTGTCCCTGCTGCCCTGGGGACACTCTTCATGTCCCTGATATGCAACCTGAAGACACACCTGCATTCCTGCATGCACCCTTCTGAGCTCCTCGCCTCTCTCCATGTTCAAAACCAGAATGATTCTGGAAAAGCAAGCAGGCCCCTACTCCTGTTTAGGAAATGGTATTTGTAGCCTAAATTTCTATTTGTTCACCTGTTCAGCACAGCTATGTGTGTGCCTCACTGACTGCACAGAGATTCTCATAAAATATGAATACTTCTTCCAGATACAGCTGTTTCTTAACTTGCATTTACAGTATGAACATTATTGGTTTCTATTATTATTTGTAAGTCTACAGTGTGAGAAGCCCATCTCTAATGCTTATGAAGTGACAGCTTCTCTTGCCAAGAGCAGACAGACAAGAGGACACTGCAGGATGAAGTGGAACAAATACCAAGAGACATGTAAACCAGACAAACGAGATTTTCTGTGAGCTGTGCAGGCAGCCTAAGTATTTAAAAACAACTTTAAATTGGGTTGCAGGCTTTGGCAGTGTAAGGTACAGTTAGCATCTTATCCTGGTGGCGTAACACTGTCTGGTTTCCTTCTCATGGGGTTAGGGATTTTTTTAGGTTGAAGAACAAGTGATGAGAGCCAGCAGGTAAAACAGGAAAAACGCAGTTTCTTTGAAGGCAATCTCTGGTATTCACAGAAGTCCCCAAAGGGTCCCCAATACATCACACGAAAGGAGTGGCAAGTTGATAGTTGAAGGGAATGCCGGTCTTTAAAAATGAAAAATGATCACTGTGACACAAAAACAGTGTCAGAGGAACAGAAATGTTTCTTTGTGAGAAGCAGGCGTTTGGATACACAGAGGTACCCACATCCTGCAAATCCCCTGCGGCAGCTGAAGCCCCCCCAGGAGGGGTAGGGCTGGGTAGGAAATGGTTATCATTTCAGGACATTTCAAAAGCTGGTTCTGCAAAACTGTAACCTCATGGTCTTGCAGACATTCAGTGGGGAGAGAGAACAAGGAAGAAGAGGAGAAAAAGGAATGAAAGCTCTTTTCTTACCTTCTCCCTGCTCAATGGTTATTGAGATACCCATATGATGTGAGAAAGGTGCAAGAAGAGAAGAGCAATTGATCTACTGTAAGCATGCAGAAAAGTGCGTTTCAATCTACAGTTGTGATGCAACTTCAGTTTCTCTTTTCTGAGGTGACCACTCAACTCATCCCCGCTTCAGGTATTTTAGGTAGGGATATTTCTCCCTGGCCAGAAATTCCACCACCCAACATAGTTTCCACAAACTTCTACCATCTTTCCATACATTTCTACACAAGCTCTGAACAGAACAACCCAGGAGCTCTCATCCAAGAGAGGATCCTTCCTTAGGAGAAAATAAAAAGGGCATTGTTCTCCTATCATTCACATCCATCAGTTATGAAAAGGAAAAAGAAAAGCAAATCAAGTTTCTTGTCAACAAACAATAAAAGCTGGCACAAGAGGCTCATCCAAGCCATAGTCTAGAGGTTTGGTCAGAATATGAGGAAAGCAAAACACAACAATCATTTCAACTTAAGGCACGTATCCAAGGAAGCACAAATAGGGTGAGCTCTGCAAAAGAAAGCAGGGATGTGGTTCTTCCAAAAAGGCAGGATGACAGGAACACTCTATAAAATTCAAAGGAAGAGAAAGGAAAAAAAAAAAAAAAAGGCTTTTTGGTGTTTTCCCATCCAGGCTCTGTGCAGGGTCTACCCTTGCCTCTTAGGTGTGATACCCCAATCACTGCCTGATGTAGGAGTTTTGGTTGAATATCTCACAGCTGAAAAGACATGTCAAAGCCTTCTTATCTCACTCGGGTCAGGATCATAAAATATACCCCAAACAGCATATTTAGGTAAACCAGAGCAACCCAGAGGGCAGAAGAATAGTGATGTAAGTACTCAAGTTGTAGAGTTCTCCAAACAGAGAAGGAATCAGGTTGTAGAGATTCCGCTCAGGTACCGGGGTAGTAATTTCAAACCCCTCATTCCAGATCACATCTTTGTCTATAAACAAGAGGCAAGAGAAGACAGCAACAAAACTTTTCCATCTAAGGCACATCGCAATCCAAGTTGGAAAAAGGAGTAAGTCATGGCGAGGTAACAAAACCTGGAATCAGTGCAGCTTAACTGTGGCTCAGGGATTGGAGGTGCCTAGAGATAGGGCTACAAACCACGAGTCACCTAATGCCTTGGAAGAGAATCCAAACTCAAATATTTCTCATTCATTTTCTGCCAGCAGTCACCTCTGCAGCTTCATTCCCAGCCTGCAAACCACAGTGGTGGCCCTTCTACACTTATTTTCCCATCACAATTAACCACCTCTGATTAGTTCAACTACAGGGTGCTAGCAATTCACTGATGGGCTTCCTCAGTCTTCAATGGCTGTTCCCACAAGATCAAACAGGTGAAGGCCAAAAGAAGAAAGCAGAAAAACTAAACATTTGGGAGATGAGGAGAAAAAAAAAAAGAGAGAGAGAGAGAAATCCCTGAACAGATCCAGGTCCTCTGAGACTCAGAGTAGAAAACAGCCCAGCTATTTACTATGCCTATTTCCAGCATACATGGAAATTTCCCATCCAGCCCTTTTTCCTGCAGAATTTCATGATGTGAAATGTTTCCACAGTACCAACACAAGACAAGATGCATTTGTACATTCTTGTTTCAACGCTGCCATGCCTCTTATTTGAGCAAAATCCAAAACATTAAATCAAGACTGGGAAATTCTGTGCAGAGGGTGAATTTTGGAGCCTAGGCCTCCAAGTGGAAGGATTATCTTTGCAGCTGGATGAAGACCTCCAACAATGGGAGGGATTAGGAGAGAGTGGAAATGCTAAAAAGGGACAGCTTTAACTGATGAAGAACTCACTTCTTTTGTGGATCTCAGAAACAAAATCCTTAGGAGGATGCTGTACATACTGTAATGGACACTTATGTTTTCTGTTTCAGATCCTGCTAACAAAATGGAATAGAAAATAAAGTGTTAAAGATGTTCATATAAATGATCTTGATATGCACAAAAATTCTACAGTATATGGAGAAAAAAAGTACATAGCAGCATATTCAATACTTCAAGCATTCTGCTCCTATCACTATTTAATTTTATGGAATTTTCCCAAAGAGAAGAGTGTCCAAATAACATCTTGATTTGCAGATGTGTCTTTTTATACCTCTGGTGGGGTTTTCAGATGGCTGTTGAGATCAGCTGAGGTGTGAGCAGCATCTTTACCTCTGACTTGAGTCAGTCTTCTCAGAACACACTTGTCCATGGGAGCCATGAACAAAACAGCTTCATCTTTGTGATGCAGGAATTTATTTTCCAAGGGAACCACGTCCAGCACTGTGCCACTTGTGACAAGGAAGGTTGGACATGGGATGGGTTTCTTAAGGAGATGGGCAAAAAATGTGGTCCCCTTTGGACAAGATGCCTGAGCATGGCCCTTGTCCTTGGGGATGGATGTCACACTTGGGTATCTGTGTGGGGAGCAATGATTGCCACTCAAAGCCAACAAATGCAAACAGGATCATCCACATGCCACAGACAGGAGAAACACCAGTTCCAACTTTAGTGCTCTAACTGCATTCCCTGCTTGAAAGGATGGCGAGTGGTCAGAAGAGCTCACACCTGGAAAACAGCATCACTCAGCCTCTTGTGCTCCTTGAGAAAAAACAATGGAAAGGGAGAGGGTACAGCTCAAGCTAAATTGTCCCATAAAACATTTTACTACAACTCACCGATTAACATTTGACTCTGCTGTAGAACCTGAACAATGCTAAGGGTTGAAAAATGCCTGTCTGAAAAGGCGATGCTAAACAAAGCAGTCACACAAAGAGCTCTTGCAGAGGCAGAGGGGCCCCTATACAGCCCCAGCACCCAGCCTATGGCTGCTTTCATGTTCATGCTAGCTACCCATGCTGAAAAAGCACAGGAAAGGTGTTTCATTTCAAAGTGAAATCTTTCTGTAGGAAGTGAGCACTGCAGAAAAGTGGGGTACGTGATGGTGTTCTGTTCCTACAGGAATGATGAGAGCCCTTTGCTCTTGTAAATCAGAGAATTCCTGACATCTTGCTTCTGCTTCAAAGCTCTGTCCACCCATGCATGAACCCAGGGGATCCCTCCTATTGTGATCACATGGGGAAGAACATGGGGACCAGGGAAGCGGCCAGGCAGGCACATCCCAGCACTCAGCCAGTCACTAACTCTCCATTTCTGTACGTACACTCAGCTTCGGAATCACAGAATGGTTGAGATCAGAAGTCAGCTCTGGGTCCATCTCTCTAACCTCTGCTCCAATGGGGTCATTCGGAGCAAGGTGCCCAGACCCACGTCCAGGCAGACCCACATCTTTGGAAATCTCCAAGGAGCAAACTCCACCACCTCTTCAGGCAGCTTAAAGCATTTACATAACTTACGCTGTACTTACATAACTTTCCAAACTTTTCTGCTTGCTGTTCATGATCACAACTGCCAGAGCCTCTCCTTCTGAAAAGGTTTAGATGGGCCTCAAGAGCAACGACATATAGCTGATCCCTGCCTCCAACATTTGAGGAACTAGGAAAATACTAGGAAAAACTTATTCTTTGAAAGAGCTGCACTGCACTGGCACAGGGAGGTGGTGTTACTGTCCCTGGAGGTATTTGAGAAGCATGGAGATGTGGCACTGAGGGATGTGGTTAGTGGCCATGGTGGGGATGGGCTGGTGGTTGGACTTGGTGATCTTAGTTCCAACCTTAAAGGTTTTGTGATTCTAGGTGCTGACGTGCTGCCATCTCACTCACCTTCTGAAGTACAGCAGGTTCAGGTGTGCCCAGCTCAAAGAACAGGGCTGACATCCAGGAGCAGAAAGCCATGGCTTGAGGAAGGTGGGAACAGGAATTTCTTAGAATAGCTGCCATTGGAAAATCAGCATTGCTGAGGAGCCTTCTGTATGAGAAAACATCAGAGCAACTTTTCAGCGGGAGGGCAAAGATTAATGAAGGTCAGTTTCTCATTACATCTCTTGAGGATGTTGGTTTTTTTCCACCCACAAGCAGAAATTCTGGCTCTACCACATTCACAATGAGATGCCTCTTCCAAAGAATCCCTTTCACCCCACCAGGCAGGTAGCAACACTCCAGTGGTCAAAGCTGACCTGCAACTCCAGGTCCACCAACAGGAACCACCAGCAGACGTTGGCAGGTCAAGCAGCACTGCGGGGCTGTTTACAGGGCTGTGTGCCTGCTAAGCAGGAAGGAGAAGCGACCAAGGGAAGCCCTACTCTTTCCCTGTACCAGCCCCAAAGTTGCAGCATGAATATCCACACTGATCTGGAGTGTTTAATATCAAATGAAGAGGGAATTAAGGTGCTTGCGTCTGTGACTGCTTTTACACGTTAACTTTTGACAGGATGAAAACATAACTCGCTGTTTTTGCCTTTATAAGCAATACTTGGCTTTTTCTATTCCTGAGCTTGTCTACTGTGCAGCTTATTTCTTTTGCTGATAAATATTTATGCTCCGTGATTTTGATTTATAAGAAGGGCTTAAATATTGTAAAGCTGGATATAACCAGCGTAAAATAACATAAAACAAAGCACCAGAATCCAGCAGACTTAAAAGGCATGGCTCCAGCGGCAGCCAAATTTTGCCCCAGAAATGACCTCTTCCCCTCAAGAAGTGGCACAAATTGGCAGCTTCCCTCTCTGCATTACAATTGAAATTCCAAAACTGTATGTATCAAACAGGAGAGGTGTTTGCCGTATTGCCAAGGTTACTAGAGTGAAAACATTGCAAATGGCATTTGCATGATTGTACTTTCAAATCCTAACTTGTAGCAACAGTGCATTTTAAATGAAGGTGATTTATAGCTCCAACCAGAACACTAATCATATTTTGGAGTAATAGGATTTATTTGTTGGTTGTTTGTTGGTTGTGTTCTTTAAGCTCAGAGACAACAAGCTATGTTCATGAAAAGGGATGTGGCTGAGCTTAAGCCCTACCCCAACAACATTCTGAAAGGATTAGAAAATAAACACAAATGTACTCTATTTTCAGCACGCAGTTCAGAGCCTAGGAAGTCTTTAACGCTTCTCTGCTATGAGAACATCCTACATTGCTAAGCAAGTTCAGATAATTTCCATTTTAAATGAAAAATTCAGATGAGTACAAAAAAGAAGTCGTCGTCTGGGGATCAAGAATGGATGTTTCACAGCACCCAGCTGTTCTTCAGCTCTGAAATTCCTTATCCACAGCACACTGGGCACATCACGAAGCAACGTTCAGTCCACTACCAAGACTAGGATTTACAGCCCAATATCTTAAAGCTGGAAGCAGTTGCCATGTGTTCTATGACATCACAGAATTACAGAATCATAGAATGGCTTGGCTTAGAAGGGACCTTAAGGGCCATCCAGCTACAGCCCCCACCATGGGCTGGCTGCCCCCCACAGCTCAAGCTGCCCATAGCCCCATCCAGCCTGGCCCTGAGCACCCCAGGGATGGGGCGCACACAGCTCTCTGGGCAGCAGCACCAGGGCCTCACTGCTGTCTGAGTAAAGAATTTCCCCTTATTTCCCCTTAACATCTAACCTAAATTTCCCCTTTTAGTTTAAAGCCATTCCTCCTTGTCCTATCACTATTGTTCTGTATAAAAATTCAGTCCATCTCCTGCTTATAAGCTCCCCTCAAGTACTAGAAGGCCACGATGAGATCTCCCCAGAGCCTTCTCCTCCAGATCCTTTATTTCTGGGACTGGCCACTAAGTCCCAGGGCAACTAACTTGGAGTCACGCAGTATTTATGGGGAGAAACAGCTCATTTAGGCCACAATTTAGGAGATGCACTAAATCCCATGGCCCATATCTGTACATGAAATGAGCTTGACTTCAATCTCCATGCACACCTGACTCAAAGAAAGAAAGGTGTTCCACAAGGGACTGAGCATTATTAGAAATAGTCCCAACAAATTCCTTTTTGTTGTTGGTGGTGGTTTTCCTTTTTTCACAAAGAACATTTCTGGACATAACACTGTAAAAAAATACACATTCAAGCCACCTTCAGGATGTGTTTTAGTGTAACTATTCTCAGTGGTGGGCTGTTAAGTTAACCTGGCTGACATGGAAAACCAAGAGTGATCACATGGCTGTTACTGCTGCCCAACTGAAGAGACGTTAAACTTTATCAGAGTGTTGGGAATGTCATAAAACACACACTAACCTGGTCACCTGAACTGCATGGTCACACACCTTCTGGAAATTGAGTTTGGGCTCGTTAATGTGGTGTCAAACACCTAAGAACAGCACCCAAAATCTCAAGTTGTGCTTGGAAATTTTGGCCTTGAGCAAGTTCATGCACACGCTGTGTTTATACAGTGTACACGTATTTGTGTGTGTGTGTCTGTATGTATATAATTTCACATGCACATTTACATACATCTTTAAATGAAAAAATTAATCTAAAATATGTCACCCGGCAATCTGTCAAATAAAACTCATATAATAAATATGTCACTTTATTTAACAACTGATGCTGAAGAGAGCTAGGCAGGAGGAAAGAAATCAAGACAAGGTTTAGTAAAAACACTGAGGAAGGCAGAAATTAAAGCAATCAATCACATTCTCGTGGAACGTCTACGCCACTCGAAATAATATTTTATTGTCTGCTATTGATTGGATGCCACCGAACAAAATTGCAAACAATGAATCTGATGTTATAAACAAGAATCACAATAAGAATAACTTATTTCAAAGCCTCGGCCGCACAACAGTTTGCACTCTGCAGAGCCAACCATGGAGAGCTGGACTTCTGCTTGTTCTGCCATAGCCTCGGAAAATGTCACTCTTCATTAACAACTGCAGTGCCTGCCAAAAATAAGGCACACTCCCCTTTTGCTCTCCTCTGTATTTTAAATGTGAGCTTCCAAACTTTGGTAGGGTTGGAGGGAAGGATAAAAACGCAAGAGAGAAGATGCAAGAGATTGTTTTTTTCCGATGGTTTCTTAATTAATTATAGTTCCTTCAGAGAAGTTGCCCTAGACCCTGCCAGGATGGTAACAGTAGTGCCCATGGGCAGATCCATGGACATTGGTGAATTTGCTGTTGCATGGTTTGGGCTCAGAAAGCCTGACTATTATCTCCAGTAGGAACAACTAAGGAGGAAAGGATGCAAGTGACTGAAAGACAGCATAGCAAGTGGTTGGCAATGGCTCACTCCTAAATATGTAAGCTTGCTTCAGATCTGGGTCTGGCCAACATTTTCATAGAAGTGTGGACTGAGGATATGATTTTGAGGGGTGGAGAATGTCCTTGTGACCTCCATTGTGGGCTCCAGTCTAACAGGGGTGTGAGTGCTCAAGAGGGGAATTCAGACATAATCTGAAAAGCAATGATCTGAGGGAAGCAAGGAGAATGTCCAGAGAGGAAGAGGACGGCACATCTCCTGCCTTTGGGAGGACAGCAATAACAAGAAGATCAAGAGCCAGCAATGGGAGCAATATCCCTGTGAAGTCCCCTCCTGCAGTGTACTGATGGGAAAGGGGACAAGAGAGGCACATAAGCCCACCAAGGCATGCAGGGTAACCCCCAATGGAACACTAGGGATCAGAGGGAGGGCTGGAGGCAGCTGGCATCATCATCTGGGAACCATGTCCAAGATGAGGGATGCTTCCTGTACACAGAACAACGAACTGCCTACAATCAACCCAATTTGCTCCTTGTGCACCACCAACTCTCAAGGCAGCACCTCTGGCCCAAGGGCACCGTGCAGAAGATACCGCAACCGATTTCGGGCAATGAAAAGAGGACGGGACGAGCCGGCAAGGACGCTCGGAGCCCAAAACCTCCAAGCCTGGGCAGGGGCTTGTGTGCTGCTGCAAGCGCAGCGAGCGGGCACCCTCTAGCGAGATGCACTGAGAAGCGCTGCTCCCCCCGCACCCACCGCCCTGCCCGGCGCTTCTCCCCGCAGCACAGTCTGTGGGTGCCCACAGCCCAGCCCCATTCAATTGCCACCCGCTGCTCCCCAGCAGCGACAGCCTCCCACAGTATTTCCCTTTTTACAGCTTGGATCGCGAGGCATGGGAAGTTTCTTCCCTTCCTGATCACCTTCACCGTCTTCCAGTGAACTTTTGGGTGATGCACACTGTGTCCTCTGCCCCAGCACTGCTGTGTAAATGGTGAACAGGCTCCCATGCATTTTTCAGGCTGACGTTTCATAGACATAGTGGATGTCCCATCCCTGGAGCCATTGGAGTCAGGCTGGATGAGGCTCTGAGCACCTGATGGAGATGTGGGTGACCCCCATTGCACAGAGTGGAACTCGATGGCCTTCAGGGGTCCCTTCCAACTCAACTGGAAGGGTAAATATTGATTCTATGATTCTGTGACACTGATGCTGAGGAGTCAGCACAGAGCCAAGCAGGAGAGGATCTCTGACCCAGAGACCATATTCCCCTCCCCAGAACCTTGACTGCAAACATTACACAACAAAATCTCCTTCTTTTCCACATCTTCACAAACAAATTTGGTTTGGGGTCAGCTCATGCAGCCTTGGGATTATGGGTGGCAGCCTGATCACCAGTGCCAGGGAAGGTGCGGATGACTGCCACCTCTGCAAGCCCTCAGGGACAGAATAGAGCCAAGCCCTGATGATGTTAAATGTTGCTCCTGGCACTGCAAACATTAATGTGAGAGCTCCTGTCAGACCTGGGGAGCTGGCGCCTAACCAAGCTTTGAAGGACATCCCTCCTCATCCCATCATCACTGGTGGTTCTGATGGAGGTTCCCATCATCCGCAGGTAAATAGGACAAGATGTAATGACTTTAAACTGTGCTAGGGGAGGTTCAGGTTGGATATTAGGAAAAAATAAGTCTCAAAAAGAGTGGTGAGGCAATGGTGAGGCACTGGAACTATTCCAGAGAGGTGGTAGAATCACCATCCCTGGAGTGGATCA